ATAGAACCATAAGTGGTCTCCTAATTAATGACATCAGTGATCATCTACCTGTTTTTATAGTGTATAACAGCAATTACAGGAAGGTTAAACAGTAAAACACAATAAAATACAAACGAGTGAGAACAGAAGAGTCAATAAACGCATTCAAAAGTGATTTACTCAAGCAAGAATGGGAGATGCTGTATAAGGAAAAAATATTGATAAAGCTTATGAGATTTTTTTAGGAAAATTTAAACTGTTATATAATAGTCATTGCCCAGTAAAGAATATAGTAAAAACAAAATATGCAGAGTGCCATGGATTACAAAAGATTGCAAAATGCATGTAAGAAGAAAAATACCTTATACAGAGAATTTATAATGAACAGAAGCACAGAAGCTGAAAATAAATACAAGAAATATAAAATAAATTAACGAGTATTTTAAGGTCATGTAAAAAGGAATACTATGAAAAATTACTGATTATGAATAAAAATAATATTAAAGGGATCTGGAAAACATTAAATACCATCATCAAAAAGGGCTCGGGGCAGGCAGACTATCCTTCGTATTTCGCAAATAATGATAGAAATATTACTAATATGAGAGATGTGGTAAATGAGTTCAATAAATTCTTTGTAAGTGTTGGGCCAGACTTGGCTGAAACAATTCCTGATATAACAGATTCTGTAGAGAAAGAAACTAGACTCATTGACCGCAATCCTCATTCAATGTTCTTAACGGTGGTGGAAGAAATGGAAATCATTGATATTGTTGGGAAATCACAAACAAAAACTCTACAGACTCTGACGACATTGATATGGAAATCGTTAAGAGAGTGATAGAGGGCATTTCCAAACCCTTAACACACATTTGCAATTTGTCCTTACAAACTGGTACATTCCCAAAACAAATGAAAACAGCTAAAGTAACACCACTGTTTAAAAATGGTGACAGACACCAATTCACAAATTATAGGCCTGTCTCTCTACTTTCTCAATTTTCAAAAATACTGGAAAAAGTCTTTAGTAATAGACTTGAGAAATTTATAGATAAACACAAAATAATAATGGATAGTCAGTATGGTTTCAGATCAAATAGATCAACATCATTGGCATTAATGGAACTGATCGAAAATATCACCAACAATATAGATAAAAGACAATGTATAGTTAGTGTATTCATTGACCTAAAAAAAGCTTTTGACACAATTAATCATGACATATTACTTGATAAACTGGAGTACTACGGCATTAGAGGAGTGGTGTTAGAATGGGTAAAGAGTTATTTGAGAGACAGGCAGCAATTTGTGAAAATTGGGGAATATCAATCAGAGTGTATGGACATTGTTTGTGGAGTTCCGCAGGGGTCAGTATTGGGACCAAAGCTGTTTATCCTCTATATCAATGATATATGCAGAACATCAGATATACTACAGTTTATTCTATTTGCAGATGATACAAATATTTTTTGTGCTGGAGAGAACTTACAGCAGCTTTTGGAAATCGTCACAAAAGAAATGATTAAACTGAAAACATGGTTTGATAGAAATAAGTTATCATTAAATTTGGAAAAAACTACATTTATGTTATTCGGAAATTGTAAAAAAGATGCAGGAGCAAAATTATTAGTAAACAATGTTGAAATAGAGCAAGTTTCGGATACATACTAACATCATGTTTTGAAATTAAAAATACTGAAGTTTATGGATCTTATAAAATATAAAACTGCAAAAATTATGTACAAGGCCAGATAGAATATGTTACCAGGAAATATACAGAGGATGTTCTATGACAGAGAAGGAGACTATGAATTGAGGGGGAAATTGAATCTAAGGATTCTTAAAGCACGGTCAAAGGTTAAAACCTTTTGTGTCACTATTTATGGGGTAAAACTGTGGAATAGTTTTACTATAGATCTACAGCAATGCTCAGGAATTAGTAAGTTCATGAAAATACTTCGAAAACTGATTTTGGAAGAATATGATACCGATAAAGATGATCACCCATTGTATGTATAAAAATATCAAATTATATCCAAATTATATCAATCACGGTAGCCAAGTTTATATAGGTTCTCCTCGTGTATCGTGTGGAGTATGTGATGATGGGAATTAGGTGAATTATGTGGGATCAATAAGATGTTGAGCAGGGGTAGGAATTAATAAGTATGTTCATACTTCTTCCTACTCCTTTTCAGACCAAACATTGTTACATTATGTCAGACGATTTTGTTTTATTTCATTATATATTTTTTGTTTATCTGAACACATACGTGTGTGTGTGTATATCTACATATATATTCGTATCTGTAAATGAAAATATATGTAGTGTGTATATATTGTTTTTTGTTTTATATGTCTGAAACAAATAAAGATACAATACAATACAAGACCCCAGGTGCAGGCTGTGTAAAGATGCCCCAGAGACAATCCAGCACGTAACAGCAGGGTGCAAGATGCTAGCAGGCAAGGCATACATGGAACGCCATAACCAAGTGGCCGGCATAGTGTACAGGAACATCTGTGCCGAGTATAACCTGGAAGTCCCGAGGTCAAAATGGGAGACGCCCCCAAGGGTGGTGGAGAATGACCGAGCTAAGATCCTGTGGGACTTCCAGATACAGACGGACAAAATGGTGGTGGCTAACCAACCGGACATAGTGGTGGTAGACAAACAGAAGAAGACGGCCGTAGTGATCGATGTAGCGGTTCCGAATGACAGCAATATCAGGAAGAAGGAACACGAGAAGCTGGAGAAATACCAAGGGCTCAGAGAAGAGCTCGAGTGGATGTGGAGGTTGAAGGTAACGGTGGTCCCCGTGGTAATCGGAGCACTAGGTGCGGTGACTCCCAAGCTAGGCGAGTGGCTCCAGCAGATCCCGGGAACAACATCGGAGATCTCTGTCCAGAAGAGCGCAGTCCTGGGAACAGCTAAGATACTGCGCAGGACCCTCAAGCTCCCAGGCCTCTGGTAGAGGACCCGAGCTTGAAGGATGAACCGCCCGCAGGGGCGTGCTGGGTGTTTTTTTTAATTATTAATAAGAATAAAATAAAATAAAATAAGAAAATCCCCAATATCCAATAGATGGATTTATGTTTATGTTTTATACACAAAACTAAACTGGAAACATAAACTTGCATAAAACAAAATAAGCATGTTTTCATATTCAGAAAGATGGAGCCATGAAGTAAAAGTATCTTTGGGTAACAAACAGTCCTCCTACGCTGTGTTAACTTTGAATACTTTGAATCTCTGTATGAAGAAAGGATGCAAAATGACACAGATGCAGTCAAACATCTTGATGTGCTGCAGTAGGATATCATAAATCTGTGCCTAAAATACTACTTGCATATTTTAGATTCTGTATTCACGTCATCACTTAAATACACCATGCTGCATCCCCTTTAAGTAAAATATTTCAGCACTGTTGGGAGATGTTCCAACGGGGATGCAAAATGACTCAATCACAGCCCGATGTATCGCTGGTAGATTGACGTGCTGTGGTTTGAATTTTATTCTTGTTTAACCAGCTGCATTCCCAGCTGGCCCAGGCTTCACGTTCTTGATCCAGAAGCTCTTACAGCTGTCAGAGAGGCGGTCCTCCAAGGGCCGCAGGTCTGCTTTGGGAAACCAGGAGCAGTGAGGTGGTTGCAGCATTCAGCCTGAAGGTCTGTGTGGGGCTTTTCAAATGGTTGAATACCTGATGTGTTTGTTATTGACATGATCAACACATAATAACAAAGCTTCATTCCTATAAAGAAACACTTGGTTTATACTCTAACCACATATTCATGGATAAAAACAAGCAAATATAATCTTTGGAGCGTAAATACTTATAAGCTACCGTTGAAATACACATGATTGTTAAGTATAAGTTTGTCAGAGGGCTGCAGGTCTTTCCTCCAAGTCTCAGAGCTGACGGTGCAGACAGAGGACTCAGATTCATGAGACCTGGAAAATAAATTTTTATGGTGTAGTGTAGCTCGTCCATCAACATGTAGGCTGCTCCGCAATCTTAACTGACCCCCAGTTCTTTTTTTTGCGCCATCATCTGCCTGAGCTCCAATTTGCCACTCCTGCTGTGGCACCACCAATCCCAGCATCTGTCCTGGCTCCAGCCCCAGTCGCCTTCTGAAGCCCACCTCCACTCCCTCCCTCCTGGAGATGAGGCTGTATTGCAAATCTGTGAGAGCAGATATGGTGGCCTGCAGGCTGTGTTCTGTCTAGTCGGCCACCATCCCTGGGGCCTCCGGGGCCGGCTCTGGCTATCAGACCCAGAAGCTGGGCAAGCTGAGCCAGAGCTGACCCAGGCCCGAGGGTGAGAACAAGATGCTGTGCTGATGCTGCTGCTGGACGTCAGGCTCAGTAGCAGTTCTGCTGGCAGGGTCACGATACGGTTCAAAGGTCGAGGCCGTGTTTAGGGCTGATGTACCGAGCTGCTGCAGCTGATCGGCCTCTCTCTCCCTTCGCTCAAGAGTTTCAGGCCTCGGTACAGCTGATCTATACGCCGAGGGACACGTTAGCAACACTAGCACTGTTATTTATATAAAACTACACACAGCAGGCATCGTTGCTGCTTCTCTCGCTATCCTGGCTTGACCATACATAAGACCAACAAACCCCTTGCTTTGGGGGAGTGTTGTTCTCGTGGCTCGGTGTGGGGGTGGCGGTGTTGAAAGTATATCGATCTCCAGGGCTGAGCTTTCGACTCAGGGGTAATGCTCTAAGCAAACAACGGCAGTGTGTTTTTAAATTCTTAGAATTTGACCAGCAGTGAATGTTTGAGTATTTGGGGGCAGAGAGGACAGAGAATACTCACTCGACCCCCAACTTTAAGTGTTTAAGTGTTTAAGTTTACACTTTCTCTTCAACGTGGATTTTGATGACTTACGTAACTAATGCATACTTCTGTGTCGCTCTGTTGTCACTGTGGTATTCCAACAAGCATTACCTAATAGTCCAAACTGCTTAAAATGACAACATCTATTCTATGTTGATGAGTGGATCACATGCACACACATCAAGCAGCTGGTTTATTGTTTGTATCAGATGGTCACAAAAATTATCCTGGAGAAAGCCTGTGGTAAAAATAAGCTTGAACTCGGGCAGCATCCGAGATGAAGACAATAAAGCGGTCCACAGTGTAAGCCATAAGTGACACAGTGAGAGTCTGTGAAATGCCAAAGTGCTCATTAAGTATTATCAGCTTAATCTTCACTTGTCAATACAGCTTCTAATTAAACAGCAGGTCACACGGGATCTTCAGCAGGCAACAGAATGCTGTATAGACAAATAAGAAGGTCGCTGCGATGCTGCAGTGCCACCGTGTGGTTGATTTTGTCAAGTGAATTTCAAAAAGGAGTCTTTTTACTAGGAAAATCAATTTTTGGACATGTGTTCAGCAAAAAAAAAAAAAAAAAGCCCCCAAACCATTTCTGATAATAAGTGCGGTGCAAGACCGAGCAGCTGAAAGCCTGTGTAACAACGGGGATTACAGGATTTAGCTTTATCTGAAACTACGGCCCTGAGTCTTATCAGATTATTCTGTGGATCTGCTTAAATGGCGTCTTTAGGAAACTGTGTCACAGATGAAGAGTCGGTCCAGCCTTATGTGTCCCTGTTTGCCTCATTAGTGGCAACTGGGCTCATGAGCATGTCGGAATAAGAAGCTTGTGCTGCAGTGACTCAGAGGTTCATCTGACTGAGGATGAGGCAGCAGTACAGCAGGACCCACCAGACCAAGAGCATTTCCAGCTCTGACAGGGTCACTCCACAAGAGGCTGCTGAAGGCTGAAGAAGGGATCCTTCGTCACTGCTGGAGACAAACGAAGGAGTGTGAGGTGAAGGTTCTGCACACACTGAAGCAAGCACATCGAAATCGGGAGTAGCAAAAACTACATTCAAATGCAGATATCTTTTTATAGTGTTTATCCAAACAGAAGCTTTAACAATATCATATCCATGTTAACTCTTTACCTTGTTTTCTACGGCTAGATTACAATAAATAGCATCCTGGGACTGGCTCATCAGACTTTAAGTTAACTTTAAGCAGCCCTGTGACTTAATAGAAATCCTAAAACACGCTTGAAAGTGAAGCATGTTTCATATTTCATATATAAAAACACTAATAACTCAAACTTCTCAGTGTGACGATACTGTTTAGCCAGGTAAGTGCTTTAGACATGAAGAGGGAGCCCCCCCCTTCATCAGTAGGTGGCACTATTGAACTGAAAAACAGCCTCTATAGAAATACTCCTCTGGGCCATGATCACACTGTGACTGAGCGCTTTCCAAACCAGGCTGCTGTTTGCACAAAGACCCTTTGACAGTAATGCGACAGTATTTACTCGCTTTATGCTGCAATACAAGAGACACAGCAAGTGAACAGCAGCTGTAAAAGGAAACGATGCTCATCATCTGTGTGGAAGTCGCGTTGTTCCAGACATTTAACGAACTTGTCTCCGTTACCAGTGTTATTACTGAGTCACAGTAAACTGGAAGTCTTGGCAAATGTGGTGAATTATGTTTCTGCTGATAAATGGTTACCTGGGTGACCGAGGGGTTGACCTGCAGGCAGGAGGCCAGACACCTCCGAGTGGGCGTGTTCTGGGACTCTCCTCCCCATCGTGCTCTGTCGTTGTTGTCGTCATCTCCTCTCCAGCTGCTGATTTAACTTCATCAGTGTCTCTCACTTTTTCTTCTTTACACTTCCTGCCACTTTCTTCTTCTGTGTCACTTCTGACTTCACAGGCAGCCTCATCAGTTATTATTTTTCCATTTACTTCACCCTTAAAACTTTCTGAATTTGTGCTTTTCTGGCTCTTCCCATCTTCTTTCATCACAGCAGCATCTTGGCTTGCATTCCCTACATCCTGCCCTCCCACCTGTCCACGTTTTTTGGAAAGCTCTGCATCTCTTCCGTCCTCGGTGTCTTCCTGCCAACGGGCCACTTCAACAGTTGCTTCTGCTGCATTGTCCTCTGTTTTGTCGACCCCATTCTTGAACATTTTTGCATTTTCCATCTTTTTCCCCCTTTCTTCCTCACAATAATCACCATCATCATTGCTCTGTCCTCTATTAGCCCGCTGCTCTTCATGCTCCTCTGTGCTTCTACTTTCACCCTCTGGCTTAAAGTCAAGCGCTGCTCCACCGTGTGTCATTTTGCTGAGATTTCTTTCATTTTTGTCAAAATCAAACTTCCTGTGCACCGCTGACTGGGCTGATTCAAGCTCAAAATCAGCCTTTTGTAAAAAGGAGCCTTCCTGATATTTGGATTCTTCTTTCATTTCCTCTGCTGTTTCCTCTTTGACCTTTGGTACTTGTCTTTTCAGCTGATTATATGGTTGAAACACATCTTTATTCAGCTCTAGGATGTAGCTATATGCATCCTCCTCATCTGAATCCAGCGATGGTAAGCTGTAGATTCCTTCCTCGGAGCTTAAAGAATAGCAGCTTTGTGCTCGTCGCTTGTCGTAGCCTTGATCCAGTCCACTGTCCAACCACAGCTGGACCTCCTGGCTGACTATGCCAGCATCCAGAGGACTGGGTGGCTGTAAAGTGCTTCGTGCACTGCCTTTCCTTTTTTTGTAATGTGAGTCTGAAGCAGTCCCAGCAGGCTGGTCGGAGGTAGCTGTTCCATTTGTGTGAAAGGACGGAGAGCGGGGACTTCCTGAAGATCTCCAAGACCAACGCTTCCACAGAAGCTGCTCGCTGCTCTTCTCCAAGCCTTTCAGCAACACCTGGACTTCTGGAACATCAGCGTCAGTCTCTTCAAAGCTGACTGACTCAAGTGATCCAAAACTGGGAATCTCGGGAACGTCAATATCTGGTGTGGGAGCCTGTAATATAAGCATGTCAGTGATAGCAGAACCAAAGAAATACTGCTAGCATGTAATAATGTCACACTATGAAGGTATTAGTAAGTGCTTATTTTGTCATTTATATCTCGTTAATCCTTCTCAGTACGTCATTTATGAACAGATATGTTTATCCATCTGTTACTGTAACAACAGACGTTACACAGAAGTCTGTAATTGTTCTGAAAATCAATGTTTTTACGTAAAAATCCCCTCAAAAACTATTTTACTCATTTGTACAATGATGTCACTTATTTTTTAAAAAAAAACTATTACTAAACTACATTTTCTAAACAAAGACACCTTTAGATTCAGACTTTCAGGACCACAGTAGGACTTTGCTACGTTAGACTCCATAATAAAGACTTTAACTGATCAAGCACACACATCCATACATGTGCAATAATACTAAGTGCAATAATCCTTCTGTCATCGTTGTATTTTTACTCAGTTGTATATAGTATTTGTATTTGTATTCTATTTTTATCTTATTGTATATTTATTTTATTTTATTCTACTGTATATAGTATTTTATTTTATTCTATTCTGTACAGTTGTGTACTGTATTTATTCTTATTGTATTCTAATTTTTGCCTCATAACTTTTGCACTGTCCACTTCCTGCTGTGACAAAACAAATTTCCCACGTGTGGGACTAATAAAGGTTATCTTATCTTATCTTATCTTATCTTATCTTATCTTATGAAACAGTGACGCTCTGCTTCACCTGTTCTGAGTCTCTGAGCTAAGATGACGGGCGGCCGGTGGCAGTTTCAAGAATAACTGAGTGATATAAATGCATTTATTTATTTATTTTTTTATATCTACCTCGCTGTAGTGAGACTGTAGTGAAGGTGAACTTGTGCTGCACTAACCTCATCTATGCCTGAGTGACACTTTGGGAACATGGAGACGTAGGTGATGATGGACTGCTCGTCTGGTGAAGTGCACGTCACATCTGCAGGGAACGATTAAAAAAATCATAAAACACTTAAAAACATAAGCGTGTGTGTGTGTGTGTGTGTGTGTGCGTGCGTGTGTGCGTGTGTGCGTGCGTGTGTGCGCGCGTGCGTGTGTGCGTGCGTGTGTGCGCGCGTGTGTGTGCGTGTGCGTGTGTGCGTGTGCGCGCGCGTGTGTGTGTGTAAAACAAAGCTAGGGGCTTGTAAGAACATATAAATGGGCTGATTGGTGCGTTTCTACTCTCCTGTAGCCACATTCACACAATCACACAAGCACTGCCTTCTATGCTTTTAAGTGCTCACTAACATTCACACTGTGATGGATGCATCAGAGAGCAGCCAGCGGTGAGTATGTTGCCCAAGGATGCTTGGCATGCAGACAGTGGCAGCCAGGGACTGAACCACATATACCCTTTACTGCTTGGAAACATGCTGTATATGTACCACGTGGGCCCTCAAAATAATAACTTGCATATCGTGTGGCCCTGTGGAGGTGAAGGTTCCTGGTTTAGGGGATGGTTGGTTGAGTCAGGTCTGGGTTTATTTGAAATTTATGTTAACTAAATATTGCAAGAGGTTTAAAATGTGATATTTGTGGCTTTCTCTAGAGACAATGTGAGTCCACATTTTTCATGTTCCTGAGTCAGGACGTTTTTCTGAACTCTTCAAATAAATAAATAGGTCCGTGGTTGGTTCTGTAAGTAAACTGGTTCAATAACAGTCCTGACTCAGGGCCATGCTGTTGTATAAGCAGGGCCCTTCATTCATAAGCGTAACACTGTGTACGTCATCTTCTTGCTGCAAGAATGGGGGCGTGACAGTGGGAGCTGTGGGGGCTGTCCTGTGCTGTCTGACAGCTTCCTGTATCCTGTTGATTTTTGCGCACCAGCTTGTGCCTTTTCTCCGTCCACTATACGCTCACCTCAGAGAAACATTCAATCATTTCCATTTGTCTTGTCAGCCCCCTGGGCTTGAATTTCATATATGCATTTATAGAAGACTTGTTCTCATGTTTACAGTTTGCTGTAAACTGAAAGGAAATCTCTCATCACTCTGGGCACATAATCAACGTGGTGATTTTTTCACCTAATATGAGAAATCTTTTACCTTCAGGCTCCAGCAGTGGCGGTACATCCAAGCTGTGATGGGCTATCATGAAAGCCTGCCGGATGTTTTCCACTGGATCTCGATGAAAGCTTTCCCTCAGGTCAACCATGACTGGGTTTATGGACTTAACCAAAGCAAGAAATGCCAAGCCGCTCCTCCAGCTCTTCCCAAAGTCCTTCACGTCCACCCCGTACCTGCAAAAAGTTTAAAATGCCATTTAATTAAATGACAAGTGTGAGCCATCATTCCAGCTCAATCTAAAACTATTCTGATTTCTAACAAGAAAGCTAATTTTGGGCTGATGTAGGGTTAGGATACGTTTACCACCTATTAGAGCTCAGAGGATAAAGTAACCTGCTGACATTTTGTTTCATTGTTTGAGTGGGAATATGTTTGGGCTCAGTGTTAATTACATGACTTTGTAAGTGTTTTGATCTTTTTATGCTCACTTTGATGTGCATCTTTGGACCCATTGCAGGAGCACCTTGATTGCTTTCCCATGATACTTTGCTTCCCTGCCAGCCTTCCTGCCTTTACTTGGCAGAGTGCTGCAAGAGTATGTGCCAGGGTCACTTGGCTGGGGTGAGAGGTCATTAGAGGATGGATAACTGCTCATTGACAAGGCGGAAAGGCTGGAAGACAAATGCTTCTGGAGGCCTCCCATCACCTCCTTTACCTGTGTAGGAGTAACACAGAGGTGTGAGTCGGTGATAAATGGCTGGGCAAGAAGTAAGATAATACATTAAGACATTTGACTCATAGATGATAAATCCAACCTGAAAGTGCAAGATGATGCTCCAAACAAGGTGAAGAACAACAGATGGTTTACCATCAGCAATTCCAGAAGCATCAATGCCAAGCAGCTTTACCTGGCAGATAACAAGGAAACATCGATCACAATCTTGTTATTCCTGATTTGAAATCATGTCATTCATACATGTCAGAGCAATGTCACTGAATCTACAAGGAAACACTCACATGTCTGTCATCCAGAAAGACCAAGGCCTTGGAAATGTTGTTCAGTCTGAAGATGCGATGAGAGGAAGACCTAAACCTATAAAGCTAACAAAGTTAGACGAGAAAAAACATCATCACTGTTCAGGGAAATGAGCTGGTTGATTTTATTGCTGTTAAGAAGACTGGTCCCATTTATATAGCAACCCTGAACAATGACGTTACAACCAACAGCTCAGCATGAAGACAGTAAACTGGGAGACACTGCTGGCTTGGCTTCGACTAAGCGTTAGGCTTGAGACTAATTAAACAAACAAAGGAAATGACATCAGCAGTAATTAAAACATTTCCTGTCTCTGGCCATGACAGCAAACTCTTTTTCACAGGAACTGTGCTCCAGCGTCTCCTGGTGAGTCTCTGCTTCCAGGACTCCTGCTACGCTTGCAGTGGCCAAATTTAAACAGGCTTTGGCTAAATCTTTCTTGAACAGCATGATTCTTACTAGTCTGCACCCAGACAGCTCCTCCAGCAGGCCCATGAGTATTTTGCCATCCTGAATGTCTGTGAACAGGTCGTGCACTTCAATAGGAGGGTCCCGCTGGGGGGGAAAAGCATGACCCTCATTGATAAGCACATTTTTTTCAGAGTGATCTGATGAACTGATTTGTGCCTTACTCTCTGCAGAAACACATTCATCCACCTGGTGAAGGTTCTCTTCTGCACTGCTTTTCGTTCATCTGAGGAAGAGAAAACAGGGCCTTGGTACACCAATGTTTAAATAAAACATGAAAATGGCATCAGCAGTGATCAGCATAACGTTAATGGAACGCAGTGTAATGGGAAATCGTTGGTGTTTTATTCGTATGGTTGTTATTGTGACAAATATTAGTAAATCGATTAGCTTTTAGCGCTCACTAGCCACCCTAAACATTGCAGTGGACTAAGTAACCTGTGCACACCCACAGCACTCTGGCAGGAGCGAGACACTGTGCCCCACTGGCCACAGAAGAAAGAATAATAGCCCCAGGCACTGACCTAGCCTCCCAAACATGATCCCAATCAGTATCCACAGGAGGCACCAGAATTATTCTGATCCACGAGGCCCCACCCTGCAAGCACAAGGACGCAAAAGATCCACGTCCAATGCCCTGGTGCTTTTAACTGCAGAACAACAAGTGACCTGTGTCTATGTCACGGCACATCAGAGCGGGATAGAGATTGGTAGGATATGACGCAGCTGGTTTTTAAAGTTGTGTCAGTGTTAATCTAAGAAGAATGCAGAATATTGAGGTATTTAGTAATTAAATGTCCATACTCTATTTTATAGATAGACAGTTTACATGAAACCCAACTGAACAGTGCTGGAGAAGGAACATTTTTATAATAATTAAAAATTTGATACTAAAACACTAAATGATTGGGCAATCGAATGACACGAAGCCAAGAATACCTACCTGGAAAATTCCCTAAGAATGCAGTCAAGGAAGCAGGAGAGCAATGATGGTCCTTTTTGTATTCTTTTCAAAGGTGGCCTGTATACACAGTTATTTAAGTAAAACCCACCAGGATGAGACTGTACCTTGAGATGTGTATTTATCATTGAGCTCGCTCGCTGAGTTTGTCTGTGAATCCCAGCTGTCCTGCATTCTCGTTTAGACTCTTGGCACATGATCCATTATGAAGATAAAAGTGAGAATAAGTCAAAATGTCAGCAATCAGAGGCACTCCACGGTTTCCTTAAACACTCATGTTGAAGTAAAGGCAAAAGAGAGGCGGTGTATCTTGCCCCAACACGCTGAAACCTCCCTCTGACGCGTTCTCCCACCACTCCCACAAGCACAGCGTGAACCCGACTGCAAGTCTGTGGTTTATGAAATCCTGTATGTAGTGGTGGTCACTCCATGTCCAGGGGTCTGTTTGCATGTAAGAACTCGCTGTGGTTTCTGTTTTCACGTATAAGGATGTCGTTCAGAAGATCTCATGGGTGAATGATTCATTAAAGTAAACACATATTTCTTCATAGCTCACCTGGCTCAGGGTAAAGGTACGAGCAGAGGAAGCCAAGGTTCCTGTGATGTATTAATCAGTCAAAGAAAGAAAAACAGAAAATTACAAATCTTTTTAGAGAGATTTGACAAAGTGTTTGTCAAGTTTGATAGCACTGGAATTTACCTCTAATATTTCCTGCAGCAATGTCTTTTATCTTGCAACTACATTCCAGAAACAGGTCGAGTCTCACAGGAAACATTCATTTCCAAAAATCCAAAACTAAGACAGAAACAATTAAAAATTAAGCTAAAAAATATTTATCACAGAAATACAAAACTATAATAACTTTGTTCAACAAGCGTTTAATTCTTTATAATCAAAAAATTGATCCGTTTTCTGGGACACCCTGGTGTTGTCTTTCACAGTGAAGATGATGTAAATATTGTGAATGTTGTTATTTGCATTTCATCTAAATATTGTAGCTGTTTCCTCGTGGGTACAACATGACGTGTTCTTTGTGCCCTCCACTGATTCCACTTTTTAATCATAGAAATAGTTTAGTTTTGGTTTGTTTAAGCTTTGTGGTTAAACACGTCCCACCCAGTAAAGTAACTGTGTTGATCCGTCCACAGACCTGACATCACACAGCATGTCTGACACAGTTGAGTCGCAGGTCTTTATACTCTCCTCTACAGGTGTGTCTGCAGGAGTGTTATGGGCTGAGGTCAGTAGTAATAAGGGGGCATTAGTCCAAGATGGCGGCCAACCAAACCGGTTTCGTGCGTGTGCGCGTTCAGGTGTGGAAACACACAGGGCGTCAGAGGGGTTATATGAGTTTATGTGTTTTTAACTGGGTTTTAATTTAATCAAACCATAGGGTTTTTTTAATTAAACTATTTTTATCACTTAGGTGTGTCTCAACATTCAGTTATGCAGACATATGTCTTCTTAAAAGCAATTCTTTGTTTTGCAGGCGGAGTGGAAGCTGTTTTGGTTCACAGTGCACCTTAACAAAGAGGGGCTGCTTTTCATTTACATCTAGTCAAAAGTGTTGGTGTTTTAGTCACACTAATTTTGTGATTCTGACAATATCTCAGCTTGCAGTGATGCCAGCATTTTATTTTAAAAACGCCACAAATGGGAGTTTCTTCTGAATGGGTAATGTCAGCATGTTCACAAGCGTTTCATTTCATCAAACCACTAGTTTTAATTTAACTAGTTTTTATGCATCTACTGGGGTTTCTTTCCAGGGTTGATGCGATCGTTTTATTTAAAAATCGGGATCTCAGCCTGGGCGTCTATTGTCTCATGTAGTCTGGAAGATGAGTGGATGGTGGGGTGGGTGCAGTTTTCTCTGCGGTGGGGTCGGGTGGACTGTCCCGGGCTCTGTGGGGCCGGGCGGCGCTGCTGCACTGGGCCCTGGTCCGGATGGGCCTGGGCCCCCTTTCCCTGGCGGGTCGCGGAGTATGGGGGTGCCTACTGGGGTCAGCGGGGGAGCTGGCCCCAGGGAGGGGTCACTTGCCCCTCCCTTCCTTCCCTCCCCATCTCCAGCTGCCCGCCTCTTCCTGCTCCACCACAACCACCCACACATGCAGGGCCTTGGAGTAGGGGTATGTCACCAGGGTGGCAGAGGAGGCTACCCCCCCCCTGTCCCCTTCTGGCTGCCTCTGCCTCAATTTTATCCCACAACTTAGACATTCACATTACTCACACTCTCATTACACGTACAGTGGGGCAAAAAAGTATTTAGTCAGCCACCGATTGTGCAAGTTCCCCCACCTAAAATGATGACAGAGGTCAGTAATTTGCACCAGAGGTACACTTCAACTGTGAGAGACAGAATGTGAAAAAAAAATCCATGAATCCACATGGTAGGATTTGTAAAGAATTTATTGGTAAATCAGGGTGGAAAATAAGTATTTGGTCAATAACAAAAATACAACTCAATACTTTGTAACATAACCTTTGTCGGCAATAACAGAGGTCAAACATTTACTATAGGTCTTTACCAGGTTTGCACACACAGTAGCTGGTATTTTGGCCCATTCCTCCATGCAGATCTTCTCGAGAGCAGTGATGTTTTGGGGCTGTCGCCGAGCAACACGGACTTTCAACTCCCGCCACAGATTTTCTATGGGGTTGAGGTCTGGAGACTGGCTAGGCCACTCCAGGACTTTCAAATGCTTCTTACGGAGCCACTCCTTTGTTGCCCGGGCGGTGTGTTTTGGATCATTGTCATGTTGGAAGACCCAGCCTCGTTTCATCTTCAAAGTTCTCACTGATGGAAGGAGGTTTTGGCTCAAAATCTCACGATACATGGCCCCATTCATTCTGTCCTTAACACGGATCAGTCGTCCTGTCCCCTTGGCAGAAAAACAGCCCCATAGCATGATGTTTCCACCCCCATGCTTCACAGTAGGTATGGTGTTCTTGGGATGCAACTCAGTATTCTTCTTCCTCCAAACACGACGAGTTGAGTTTATACCAAAAAGTTCTACTTTGGTTTCATCTGACCACATGACATTCTCCCAATCCTCTGCTGTATCATCCATGTGCTCTCTGGCAAACTTCAGACGGGCCTGGACATGCACTGGCTTCAGCAGCGGAACACGTCTGGCACTGCGGGATTTGATTCCCTGCCGTTGTAGTGTGTTACTGATGGTGACCTTTGTTACTTTGGTCCCAGCTCTCTGCAGGTCATTCACCAGGTCCCCCCGTGTGGTTCTGGGATCTTTGCTCACCGTTCTCATGATCATTTTGACCCCACGGGATGAGATCTTGCGTGGAGCCCCAGATCGAGGGAGATTATCAGTGGTCTTGTATGTCTTCCATTTTCTGATGATTGCTCCCACAGTTGATTTTTTCACACCAAGCTGCTTGCCTATTGTAGATTCACTCTTCCCAGTCTGGTGCAGGTCTACAATACTTTTCCTGGTGTCCTTCGAAAGCTCTTTGGTCTTGGCCATGGCGGAGTTTGGAGTCTGACTGTTTGAGGCTGTGGACAGGTGTCTTTTATACAGATGATGAGTTCAAACAGGTGCCATTCATACAGGTAACGAGTGGGGGACAGAAAAGCTTCTTACAGAAGACGTTACAGGTCTGTGAGAGCCAGAGATTTTCCTTGTTTGAGGTGACCAAATACTTATTTGCCACCCTAATTTACCAATAAATTATTTACACATCCTACCATGTGGATTCATGGATTTTTTTTTTCACATTCTGTCTCTCACAGTTGAAGTGTACCTCTGGTGCAAATTACTGACCTCTGTCATCATTTTAAGTGGGGGAACTTGCACAATCGGTGGCTGACTAAACACTTTTTTGCCCCACTGTAGCTCCATGCCCTCCTGGGTTTTAATTGCACCTTAGAACACACATGCATCAACATTACAATGAGCGGGTGGAGGGAGGTTTGGAGTCTTCTCTCACCCCCGTTCTCTGCGACCTGCTGGAGCGGGGGGGCTAGGAGGAGGAGTTGGCCGTCCGACTGCGGTCTGGAGTGTGGGGCCTCCCTGCTGCTGCGGAGTCGGGGCGGCCTGCCTCCCCCCACCGCAGGGAAAAGGGTAACACCACCTGGGTCTGGGTGCAGTTCCCCCCTCCAGAGGCAAGGGTACCTAGACCCGGTTTGTAGAGTACGCTTGGGGAGCGTGATCGTGTGTACAGCGTCTCTTTATGTCTGTCTCCACGTTGGGTGAGTGTGGAGTAAGTGCATATGAGAGCATGAGGGTGGGAATGGATGTTTGTGTCTGTGTGTGCCTGTATGTCTGTGTCTATATGTCAGGTTGGGTATCAGGCGCCACCTCTCTGGGGACATCTCAGGCCCTCCAAGGTTTGGAGGCCTATCTCCACCACCACTTCCCCTGCCAGTGGCGGACTCCCTCAGACATCGGTGCGTTGGTGGTTCTTTGTGTCTGGGGATGGGCGTCCAGGTACACACTGGCTCACTCCTTGGCGGCCGCTTATCGGGGCCTGGAGCCTGGGGCTCGCTCGGGCCACTTCGGAGGTGGGGTGCCCCCGGCCTCTCGGCCTGGGGCTCGGTCACTCAGGCGCAGCTGGCTGCCGGCGGAGCTCACGGGCGCGTCACTGCAACTCCCCCTGGCTTCTGCTCCGCGGCTGCTGAGTGAGCCCTCATCTGGGACTCTCCTCAGCTCTTTCTGGGACAGTGGCGCAGCTGCCCCTCTGTTGGTCTTCCTTGGTCTCTTGTGTTCTGGGGGCCTCTGGATGTCTGGAGTTTTGATCTCCTCCATACCTGCTTCATGCCCTGGAGGACGGGGCTGTGGCCCCCCCACACCCTCTAGCAGATCATTACATGAAGGAACCTTTTAAAAACAAGCGCGTCCATGCTCACAGGTGTACACATGGGTGATCACACCCACAAACTACACCCTTTTTGGCTCCTACCTCAAAGCACACTGTGTTCTGTTGATCTTATGTGCTGCACAATAATGTTTAATATTTAGTATTTACTGTCATATTCCCATATATCATTGTGATGTTGTTTATTCTATTACTCTTGTTCTCTTCTGCTTGTTTTCTTTTTCTTTCTCAGCAGGTGATCCAGGTGATTGATATATGCTTTTTTTTTTTCTGCTCATTCTGTTGGTTTTTGTCTTTTGCCCTTCTCCCCCATCCCTCTTCTCAGCTGTTTCTCTTTCCCCCAGTCAAGTCTGTCCCGTATTCAGCAAATGAAAATAAAATGAACAATAAAAGGTGAATCAAATGGACCATTACGGCAAGGCTGGGATGGTCAATGTGGTAAAGTAAATCCGTTGGGCATCTTCCTTTGCCTTTAGACAACAATTCTGATGCAAAAGAGCCAAACGGGACAGAAAGAAAGAAAGAAAGAAAAAATCGGGATTTCGGAATGTTGAACTAAGAGTGAGACAAAGCCAGCTAGTTTTTAACACAGTAAATGGTCACAAATAACATTCAGCTCTTTA